TTATCGCTCTGCTAACCCTTGGGGTCCATTTTATTTTGGTATACCTTTTCTAGGTACGTTAGCCTGTGACCACGGAAATTGACCGAGTCAAGTGCTGGATTAGTACGGAGAGATTGAGACAGAAGGAGGTACTGGATAGAGAGACCGGGATGGTTTTTAATGTGAAGACAACAACAACAACAACAACAACAACAATGTGGTCCCGTGGCGCGCTAATCCCATAATATCATCTGGTGTCACCTGCTAGTTGCAGCCGTGATGTTTGACTCCTGCTTCAATCCTGCCTGTGGCGCTAGCGTGGTTTCCTTGCGTGCTTGTGTGCTCCGCTGTTGTATGCTCCAGTCATTTTGTGGAAAACTGGCAGGCGTTGCTAAAATTGGATTTTGTGCCCCCGGCCAACAAAAAAATGCGGCACAATCTTAAGTCCTAACACTGCTGTGTAGCCGAAGTCCGAGCCGAAGTAGCCGATGCGCGGGGGGCGCAGACGTGACCAGAAAGACAAGGGGTGTCCCACAAACACTATTTTGCCAACCACGGTGCGGTCCGCCAAACGGAGAACCTGCATCAGCAGTCAGTGTTGGAATCTCGACCGCAAGAGCCGACTTCACATTGGGAGTGTTGTGCAACGCGCAAGCATCTCTGCACATCTCTGTTGGATGTCGTCCTCCGATGGGAGAAAGATTATGCCTTTCCGTGAGTTGCCTACGAGGCCGAGGATGGCGGTGCCGGCGTGGTTCCCGATGATGGAGGAGAAGCAAGTCAAGTTTACCCTTAGCGTTGTGAACGGGGTGTACCAAATGCTCAAGCAAGAGGTGGGTGCACCTGAACACCCGAAGAACAGCCCAGAACTTATTCGTTTCGGAGGGGTGGTGGTGTGGTGTGTACGCTCGCTCAAATTTGTGTCCAAGTCTTCCGTGTTGAACGCGGCTGCTGACGCCCAACCTGCTCGCTGGCATGTATGCTCTCGTAGACGAGAGGCATCGTAGCATCGAAACAAGTGACTGCCCTACAGAGCAAACAAACGAGACGGCTGGCTATGGTTGTTCGTTAACGAACGTGAACGTTGCGTGCGTCACATCTACACTGCTGTAGTGTTTGCAAAACAGATTATCATGTTAGATGTATACCCACAGGATGTCGGTCGTGTCGTGACACATTTCGAAGTTATAGTTCAGGAAAAACAATATGAATGGTCGCTCAATGTTTTTTTTGGTGTGTGGTGGGTACGACCTAAAACTTACGTATTATGGCATTTTCTACCGAGGAGCAGAAACGGGCAGGAGTGCTGGTTAAGCAGGCGCCGGCGATCCTTCGCGGTCATTTAGACGCAATCTTGAGGCCTATGAGGGTGACGCTCCAAAACACCACCTCTTTGCTGGAACGAATCACATTGGCTAGAGGCATCGCCTTGTTCACAGTAGCTTTTAGTACTACTAAGCGGGGCAATGAGCTTACAGCGACACTTATCCATCGTATCTTGCGCCTGCCGAATCGAAGCGGACTCATGTTCATCTTCAAATAAATGGGGGAAGACCCAGCATGACAGGCCCGATCATGTGCTGAGTATACCCTTCGACGATGAGTACGTGGCGATATGCCCTGTTCGAGCAGTAGCACAGCTGGTAGAGATTGGGCAAGGAGTCGGCCGGGACATGACACAGGGATATCTGTTTTCAGACAACTCAGCAAGGCGCAACGGAATGCCGTCGAGGGCTCCTGTGCCCGATACGACACCAAAGATGGCTACTGCTCTGAAGAAGTACGCGCAAGCACCCGGGCAGAAACAGAGGTTTTCGTTGCATTCGTTCAGGTCCAGGGGGGCTATAACTCGCGCTCTTTAGGGAGACTCTTTGTCGGATAATATGCAGAAGGCATACTGGAGAAACCCGAGGACGGCCTGGCGGTACATGAGTTTGATGGAGGTAGTCCCTCCAGGTTCCGAGGCATCAAGTATGGTCCGGGGAGTGATGGAGGAGCAATACCGGGAGCTCAACGAGTTTCCTTTAAGCCAACGAACCCGGTCACTGGCAGCGTTTAGCGGTCGGTCGTTACTGTAGCAGGAGCGAAGGGAGATATGAGTGTATATATTTTTGTTCCAACATGAAGTGATTCTTTTAGCCCTGCGAAGATTGTTGTTATCAAGCGCAGGCCTTGGAAGAAAGGGAAGGAGTGGATACACCGACTGTGGGAGGTGATGCCACTGTTTGATCCCATATATCTGAGGAGAAGAACTGACGTGACAATACTGATGTATTATCAGGAACGGAGATGGGAAAAGATAAAATCGTGCCCAGCTCTGACACGCAATAGACAATATATGAGAAAGTCAGATGCGCTATCTCGCTCTTCAATAGTCAACCCTGTTCCCACTGGAAAACAAAGATAAGATAGTGCTCTGTTGAGACACCACCCACCCGCCCGGCAACATATTTTCGCTCAGTTGTTCTCTCTCCAACAAACTTATCGTGAAGAGTTTGGAAATGAGTGTCAATCGCTACACTCATTTCCCTTCCTATTCACGAGGAGTGGATACACCGACTGTGGGAGGTGATGCCACTGTTTGATCCCATATATCTGAGGAGAAGAACTGACGTGACAATACTGATGTATTATCAGGAACGGAGATGGGAAAAGATAAAATCGTGCCCAGCTCTGACACGCAATAGACAATATATGAGAAAGTCAGATGCGCTATCTCGCTCTTCAATAGTCAACCCTGTTCCCACTGGAAAACAAAGATAAGATAGTGCTCTGTTGAGACACCACCCACCCGCCCGGCAACATATTTTCGCTCAGTTGTTCTCTCTCCAACAAACTTATCGTGAAGAGTTTGGAAATGAGTGTCAATCGCTACACTCATTTCCCTTCCTATTCACGAGGAGTGGATACACCGACCCTTGTGGGAGGTGATGCCACTGTTTGATCCCATACTATCTGAGGAGAAGAACTGACGTGAAAAATCGTGAGCAAAAGACAAAGCGATACTGCTTGTAATAGTGTGCGTTCCAGTACAAAGCGTGAGCAGGATGCGACCGATCCCCGAAACGTAAGAGACAAAAGGCAGGTCTAGGCTCGTCCTCCAACCGAGCAAGACACAGGGGAGTTGATCCGCCTCGATTCATTTGGAAAGTTGCCGCATCGTATCAACAGCAACATTGACCCAGCAAGTTGTCAAGGGACTGCGACGTGTTCCCGTAAAGGCAGAAAATTACTTCGCAAGTACAAACACGACGTAACGGAGGGTTTCTCCCCGATAATTTTGTCGTTGTTCCGTAGATGGAGAAAAACTACGGGGGAGATGTCTTACGGTATTTGAACCTATACAGTGACTTTGTGATTAGTATCTGCTGGCATCACTGATGAACAATTTTGAGTGTATAGGCTAGAAATGACTAAGCCCATCACCCAGCCAGTTTCCCTCCATTAACTGCAAAGACTCCATCCAACACATCCCGTTCGACTGTGGCTATATCTCGAACGGGTAGTCTTTCTACGTATAGTAGGTAAGAGACAAACGTAGCTTGTGTTAAGGTGCGTTGAGTTAGAAACATCGCCACTCCTCCCCCCGTGCTACCCACTCCCCCAAAGCTACAGGTTGCGTTGGAGTCGAATGGTACGAACGAAAAGCCAAGGCCGTTGGGGTGTGGGTGCTGCTGGTGGAGGTGGACCAAGGAGAAGGAATCAGCATGTCAACGAGAGCGATAACCCCGCATGTTTACCATCGAGCATCCGGTTGACAACCTGATTCAGCTTGATGAAATGTGTTGTAGCCTATTGTTAGCAAGAAATACGAGAACAGCAGATAGATGCGACAGCTTCAACAATGAGTCCACCTTTTCTTGTAATTGGCATGTATTTCGGTTGGTCCTTTGACCCGACACAAGGTTTTCGTGGCCTCGACCTGATTTTGACGGGCCAATGCTTAAGGTTAGATATATACCGTATAGTGCATGTATGTGGACAATAGAGATACATCCGAAAATATCAACAATAAACACTGCTGTAGATCATGGCTACTCGGGTAAGTCCGTTTTGGGGTTAGTGTTTACCGATTGAGAGATGAATCGAGAAGCCCACCTTACCACATCAACCTCAGAAAACGACCCAAAAATTTGGACCAGCCAAACTACCAATATTGTTACAATCGATTGTTTTGAGGCTGCCTTCTGCTGGATTCCGGGCACCCGACGCCTCTCACACACAACGTCAGTGGGCTCATACTATTGTTTCGGGTGCGGTTGACAGGGGCGCGTCTCTATTCACCATATTGCGAGAGTCCAAAGATTGGACTTTGCAATGCCTGGAAGTGCTGGAACCTAACCTGTGGAGCTCGAACGAAAAAATCGAGGACGATTTGTGGAGAATAACAATCTGCTTCAAGAAAGTCCTTTCCCTTGCACATCCGCTTCCTGCTTTGGGTCCGAGTGGGGTCACATAGATCTCTGCGGAGAGTGATCGTGGGCGTCCTTGTTCGTACCCCCGGTGCGTTGCTGCTTTATTGGTAATTGTGGTGCGGATTTGCGACGGTGGCCCCATCCCTTTCCTAATTGTTTTCTTGAGTTTCGCACCAACTACCCCCTAAGAGTTCTAACAATTCCGCGCGTTTCACGTTGTTGATGTCAGTTTCGTTTGCTTGTACACTGACTGTCGTTCCACCTCGCATTCACGTTGAATACGAACAACTGGCCGTGCTGATGTGTGCACCTGGTAATGCTACGTGCGGCGACTTGGTCCCAGCAGGAAGACGCCACGAACGAGCTAATTCGAACGTTCGAGACTAGAGACGATGACGTTTTCGTGTGCACGTTTATCAAGTCGGGCACGACGTGGACCCAGCAGATCATTACTCTGGTGAGAGAGGGAGTGACCGAGGGATGCGATATTCGGACTTGGGACCTTTTGACATGCTGATTCATTTTTGTCCATTGAGCGCCAACTGCTGTAGTTCACGTTCAGAATACCGGCCAATTGTTTTGGCCTAGACGAAATCACGGGGGAGACACACTGGAAGCGAGCGTGCGGGTATTCGCGCACTGAGAAACACCAGTGTTTCGTAGTGGAGGTGAGACACAGGGCGCAGTCATCCTGGGAGAGGCATTTGTTGCGGGGGGGCTCGTGGGGGCACCAAACCGCCCATTACCCCAGGGGTAAGATATTATCTTCGGAAGTGTGGACGGCGTTGGCTGTCCATGTCATTGCACATTGTTGAGTTATCCTGTATTTGTGGCGTCCCTCTTGTGTATCCTTTATGCTCACTTTTGCTCAAGAAGCAACAGCGGTTTTACGTGATACCCAAGCCCTATTCACTCCGGGACGACCGTTCGGTTTGGGCACGGAAATGACGTGCGTCTGTAGTTTATCCTGTGCTGGCAAGCGTCGCGCACGAGATTGGGTCGGGGTGGAATCACTCCCACAGGAAGAGATCGTACGGTAACCATGAGGCATTTCGGGGCGAGCAAGACGCCCACACAGAGCAAAGACTTTCGAAAGAAAGTTGCGTCATGATTGCCTAGTCGTGCTGAACGTGTCGACTAGGTTGTCGATGGATGGGTTGTACTCTTGAGTTCGTCATGGGCACGTACAGTGCACTCGTGGAATACTGCCGACGAGGATGAGCTGGAGAATAACAGCAAGCATCGCATCGCTTGGACAAGACAGGTCTGTTGGCCGTCGGCATGGTACTCCATCACGCCGCCGGCCAAGGAGGCCGACCATCTACAGCACTCAATATTCCTATGTCCAATCTCATTCGATTGTCAACCAAGACAACGAGGCTCGTCAATTCTCTTTCGTTTTGGGGTTGCACTGCATGTGACTCAGGGTGCTCGTCACTGACCGTGATGTTCTTTCGTGGTTGCAGCTCCTTAACAAGGGAGAGCAGGGGGAGAAGAACTATACCTCAGTCGTGCCGTGGATGGAATCGCTCTTGTTTAGGCAGCCGGAGAACCCGTCTCCTCAAGATGAACGGGACCGCGAGGTGAGGGAGTAGACTGCTGTCCTTCGATCCCCTAACAATGGATGAAAATGGCGTTCGTGCGATTTGCGGTCGACCTCTGTGACCGGTTCTTCGTTGAGCTGCTAATTTTTTGCGTTCCGGATGCCGCGCTTGCGTCCCACTGCGCAAGGCTGTTTCATGGGACCCTGAGCAAACAGTGAAGCCATGGTTGTGTCAATCCTACCATACAATGTCCATGTACCCACGTGATTATCCCACGACATTTGTGTGCAAGCAAAGTGGTTGCATCAGGTGCAAGCACTTGTATTACCGACGAGATGCGTCGTTTATTACCTACTCAGGCACGTCATTCGCAACAACCCCTCGTAACTCGCAAGTGCAGGAACGCACCCAAACCATGCCCAGCCAACAGTGACATGAGTGATCGTGGATCCATCGACTTCTGTGAGTTCCTTCAGGGGACTATGGTTGAGGGGGATTCAGCTGTATCGACAGCCCCCTTGGCACAAAAAGCCTCAAAGCCAGCTGTGCTTCGCCACAACCCAAAACCGCAGCAGGGGTATGTCGTCCTCCCAGGTCGGCGAAGCCAAGTGTGGGCTACGTAACATTTCACATAGACGCAAAGAGGCGGGAAGCACGAATGGAACTAGGTTGTAATGTTGTTGTCGACCTCTTCGTCGAGTTTCGGCTTGGGGGGATTCGTCGCCCCTGTGATGATAAAACCTTTCCTGCGCGAGATATCACTGGACAGTCCAAATCCACGACTCGCAAGAGTTTCTTTCACTTCCAATGTTAGCTCATTATCCAAGGAGGGGTTGTGCACAAGAACGAGAACTCACCCAGAGGATAAGGGTCGTCTGGCATTGTCGTCTACCGCGACACGATCACTTCAGGTGAATGCGTGATCGTCGCCAAGCCTGTTGGTCAGGGGTCTGGTTTATTTAGTGCGCGGGCAAGGTACACATCGAGCAATTCCAGCTGTCGTTTGACTATCCGTGAATAAATTGGTGTCGCACCCGAGGGCATCAAGGATATGTATTTTGTTCTCTGGTTTGAGTCCATGTCGTCATGTGTAGCTGATTTTTGTAAACCAAAAAACGCCGCCAAACACTACACCCACCACCAAACCACGACCACAACCTCAACAGGCGCAGGGCTGGACGCTCGAAAAGATCAAGTCGACACCTAACAGGCGGTTCTTCAAGTCGCACTCCAATCTCAAGCAATTGCCGGTGGGCAGTGCCAAAGGGCTAAAGGTCAGGAACCGAAGCACGTGTGCGAACGACCCGCACACAATTCACGGGGTGTTCTGCCTGGCATCAGTGCTGGTATTTCGGAAATTAGTACGTCTAACTGGATTTACCTCGGCGCTGGCAGGAGTCTAGTTGTACCAAATGCTATCTGTAGCAAGTTGTGTTAGCCTCTGAACGTACGTATGCGCCCTTTTTGCTTGTATTTTTCGTAGATGATGTGTCTATTTCCGTTTGTCCCCAATACATGACCTCCTTGAATATCAACAACTGCCTCCTGCACGAGCAGGTTATCTACGTCGCGCGGAACCCCAAAGACGTCAGTGTTAGCCTTTTCCACCACGTCCGCCACAAGCAAAAGGCCGTGTTTGACGGGGACCAGTCGGACATGATCCGCTGTTTCGTCCAGGGGAGGCGAGTGCACCGGGAATGGGTGTTCAACACCGGAGTCGAAACGCCTGAACACTTTTGTTATTGGAGTGTACCGGAGTTGTGTTGGTGTGTAATCATGTGGGTGGAATCCTGTGCACAAGCAGGAAAAGGTACATGCACAGGTTGCCGTTGTTCAAATATTGTCAAATCACCCAAGATGAAAAAGGAAATGGCGACAACAATTCGACCACAGCTAATGAGAACAACCGCGATTCAGGCTTAACTTCTACCCAGGTCGCTTCGACCCTTGCGCATTCACCGCCTGCCGTCCCTTGGTGTGTGTGGACCACGGTGCCCAAAGCGATTCCACCTCCCTCCCGATGCTCAGCTCGAACGCTGTCGTCCCCCGACGGCCATACTGTTTTCAGCAGATGCTCTGTTGGTGTTTCCGGAGCGGGATTCCGCCCTCGCTGATGAAGGAATCGAACTCGCTCCATGTGGTATTTCGCACGCAAAACTAAAGCAAGTAGTGCACAGAGAAATTCTCTGCATGCTGAGCGTCCGACGGGATTATTAACCGATGTAGACCGGTTGCGGCACAAATTAAGAACTCTGTTGAAGGTGTTGCTCAACCTGCATCGAAGATAAATTCGGGCACCCTGACAGAGCAGGCTGTTGCACAGAATCGATAACATGTTCTCTTTGTTTGCAAATTTCCAGATATCAACCCTTCGCCCCTAACCTCTACTGGGAAGCTACCAGTAGCTTCACCAAACCGTTTGTCGACGACGTTCGCACCCCCTTCAATGATGTTCCCGTGCGAATCCCTACCATGAACGGTCGGGCACATGGCGGTCTTTGATTCGAGGCGGTTCTTGTCTGCTCGTCTCGTGTCTCACTCGGTCGGCAGGTGCCAGAACGGTTCGTGGTTCAACCACGTGCTCGAGTGGTGGGAGGCAGCTCAAGCGGACCCTGAGCATGTGTTGTTTCTGCACTACGAGAACATGCTCAAGGAGCCGGAGGAGAACATCCGGAAGATCGCAGATTTCGCCGGCATCGAGTACACGCCCGAAACGATTGCCAAGGTGTGCGAGCGCCACAATATCTCTTTCCCCTCCATGCTATGGAGTGCTGCTCACATCCGTTGAAGTCAAGGATGAGTAGATTGTGTGTAGTTCCAAGACCCCGAGGATAAGCAAGCTACCAGGGGCAGACAAGTTGCCTCGAATATGGTTTGGGTAAATAAGCGAAGCCGGAGGAACGAGAGGGTTCGTTCGTGATACCAATACACAGCTGATGCTCATCTGATCAATTTGTTCCTGACATATTGTGTTTGGTCGGGGCCTTCCCTCCAGACGGTTGCCGCGTCCACCATCGACTCTATGGGGCAGAACCCAAAGGCCAACATCAGGCCCAGCGAAAATCACTTGCGCAAGGGTGGCGCCGGGGGGTGGCGGGACGTGTACACGGTGAGAGAGTCGGAGGCCTTCGACGAGATCTACAGGCAACAGATGGAGGGCACTGGTCTCCGGATGGACTTCGGGGAAGGGCTCGCCATGCCTTAGTGCCCATCGTTCATGGATTGTACAAGCAGCAGGTAGCACGTGGCCTCCCCACTCCGTCTGCCTTTCGCTGGTGCCAGGAGTGTTGTTCTAGGCTGGCGTGTGTTGCTTGACGATCGCGACAGACAAGGAAGACTGGGCTTCATGTTTCCGTTGCCCACCCGCGTACGACTGCGATGGTAGTGCGATGGATGGCAAAACGTTAGTCTAGACACGCACTCAGCGTCCTTTTGTTATAATATTGTAGTGGATATTGGGAGTCCCTAGGTCATAGCCCCATGATCACGCTGCATACGGTGCGCAGACTTGATGTGTATCTATGTGCTCCTTGGATTGTGTGCGTGCACACTCTGCACTATTTACGCTTCGGGAAGCTACTGTACTGCGGTTTGTTGGAGGTACGGTTTATTCGAGGGTTTAGGAAGTACGGCACAACGGCAGTGCAAGCAAGTCCACGCGTTGCATCATTATCCAACCCTTTCGAAAGCTTGTCGCCAGCGCCTCTGTGCCGGTATCTATACTTTCCCGAGCGTTTTCCCGGGCCTCTGGAGCACATGGATGAGGGGGGCTAACAGCTGGGGTAGTAATCTTAACGCTCACCCTTGTGAGCCCTCGAATACCATCCTTCGGCGCTGCTCATCTTGCTAGTGGTGTAGGGGTGTATCGGTCCACGATAGTCCGTCAACCCTAAGCCAGCTTGTCTTGAGTAGGTGACATTCAATTCATGAGTCCTCCAAGAGAACCCTACAAAAGTTTCTGGAGGGGTTTCACTACGTGTGAGGCAAAAACTTGTCGCTGGTGTCACGCAAATGTGGAGCATTCACCCTACGTAAATGTGCCCGTCAGGTTTTATTTTCGATTTGACCGTCGACGAGTTCTTGGGTATTTTGTTCTTACCTGACATCATTCTTCATTTCGTCGTTTTTTGGGCGCCTTCGCAGGTATTGCGGTTCCAATAGCTGCTACTCGCGGAAAAGCGCTTTGCCAATGCACCGAGGGCGCGTAATTCCGCGCAGGGACTCCCGCGGTGCTTAAAAAGACGAAATCCATCGATCGTAAACGCCGCACGGTATTTCAAATCGTACAGTCGTTGGCATTACTGCACTACGATGACACCGCATCGATCGAAGAGTTGTTGGGAAATATCCGTTGAGGCACGTCGGAATCCCATTTTGTTGTCTTAATGAGCGGCGGGTCAACTTTGGCGGATCACGCCAACCCTTCATGATCGCTGAACTCTTTCCGATTGAAGGGGCATTCGTTCTTCCTCTCCCACTCGAGGAAGTTGTGATGCCAGTCACAAGCCGCTTGTGGAGGCAAGTTCGTTTGTCTCATTGGCATCTGTTGTCGATTTTTCCCTACGTGCGTCGGTCTCATGGGCATCGGTTGTTCCTCGCCCATTGAAGCACTTCAAGATGTCTCCCCGAGGCCGTGTTAGAGGATGCTGCCTCGTCCCAGGGGTATCCGTTGCTTCGCGCCCATTGAAGTACTTCGAAATGTCTCCCCGACGCGGCGTTCTTGCAAGTCCATCCGTTCCAAGGGCACTCGTTGTTTCTCACCCATTGCAGTACTTCAAGGTGCGCCCCCGATCCGCGCCACTGCAGGTGTCCTCGTGCCACGGACATCCGTGGCTTCTGGCCCGTTGCAGGAGTTCGGGATGGCCTCCTAAAGCCGCTTTGACGCACGTCCCTCCGTCCCAGGGGCGACCTCTGTTTCTGGCCCATTGAAGTACTCCAAGCTGCCCCCCAGAAGCCGCGTTGGAGCACGTTGCCTCGTCCCAGGGACAGCCGTTGCCTCTCGCGCAGCATGCCCCCCTAAAGCCGTGGGACGGCACGACGATCGGTTGCAGGGGCATCCGTTGATTCCCACCCACGGCAAGACTTCACGATGACCCCCCGAAGCCGCACTACTGCGAACTGCTTCGTTCCTGGGCCATCCGTGGTTTCTCGCGCAGTGCAAGACTTCCAACACGATACTCCGAAGCCGCGCTGCTGCAAGTTGCTTCTTCCCAGGGGCATCCGTTGTCTCGCGCCCATGGAACCTTCGAGATGCCCGACCAAGCCACGCAAAGGCACGTCCATCGATCCCACGGGCATCCGTTGTTTCTCGCCCATCGCATGACGTCGAGATGTCCCCCTTACCTCCTGCTCAACACCCTCCGTGTCATTGAACTTTCGAGTCAATCCCACTCCAGCGGCTGATTAGACGGTGCATGTACTACAGGTCAACCCGCCCCCCCTCCCACGACCATAGTTGGCTGCATGTTCAAGTGTCATATCCGTGGGGAACGTTTCTCCAGTCAAGGACATTTATAAGATGCGAATACTATGAAGTACCTGCGTATTGATGGACATGGTTGATGGGATGGGAAGGCCATCCGGGGAGATGGGGCCGCAGTCATGGGCTGAGTTCATGGGGATGAGGGTGAAGAGGGTCGGAACCATGTCGTACGTGTTGTGGACGTGGGGGTCGGTCTTGTTGGAACAGGTTATGGGGAGGGCGTCGGTTGGGTTGGCGGTGGCATTGCAGCCGTTGTGGCCATACTTCATGCGAACGATGGGTCCGGAGGAGAAAAAGGGAGTAGAGGCCCTGGCGTCTGCTGAGCGGCGAGGCCCTCGGTCCTCAGTCTGTCGAAGACTTGGTTATAAAGGTGGTCGTACGTGTAGTTGGGATCATGCAGTAGCCACTGGATGTTGGTGTGGTCGCCTTTCCTCGTGGAATGGCATGTTCTGGGACATGGGAAGGTATGATGAGTCAGGAGAACTCGCAAAGGGTAGGAGAAAGCGGAGTAGCAGTGGGTGGTCGTTAACATGAAAGGAGGGACTGAAAGAAAGAGTTAGGCATTTGATTTCCATCCGTACAGTAACGGAATGACATGTGTTTTCGGGACATCACCACGATAGTACCACTGCACAAGACGTCGAGTTATGTGTCCCACAGCAGTACATATGCACATATATATATATATATTTTTTTTTTCTCCCATCATTGGACTCTGTCGTCTGCCCCTCTGGCCCCTATCCTCCAATTCTACTAGCTAGACGACCCAACCGGGGTCACAAAGGAGGGGGGACTGGACCCCCTCCTGCGGTTCCTGCCTGAAGTATTTTTATCGCGAAAAGGGTACAGCAATCCCTTCCCTCGCGACTTTCGAAGTCGATTATGGTTTACTAACAATGAGCTTTGCGGGGCGTCGCTTTCATCCTAGACCAGGATTTGTTTAGTGAGAAAAAAACTCACTCTGCCGGGACTCGAACCCATGACCATGAGCATATATATGGGTGTTTCCGAAAAAGATCCCTTGCGCAAGAAAGAAAATTGGAAAAATATATATTTTGCCTTGACATTCCTGTCCTACCGGTACATAACAAGGTTTTCGTGTGATTGAGAGCGAAGTTTCTGATTGAGAGCGAGATTGCGCGATGCGCTGTAGCTGGACTACCGCTGAGAGGTGGAGCTTGCTGCGTGACTTGAATTGAAGGCCTAGCCCGTAGCTACAAGCCGATACCCTGGTCATCCTGTGGGAGTCTCTCGTTGTGGAGCTACAGCGGGGAGCAGAATCTACAGCAGAGCCCACCGCCCGCGATCAAATCGCCCTGAACAGTTTGAGGCAGGAATAGCCAATCTGGGGAAATCTAGCAACTTGTCTAGCTCCTAGCTGCAGCATCGGATCGCGATGACACGCATGTGCTCGTGACGCTGCTGATGAGACCTTCAATTTGCGCCGCTTCTTGGAAGAGCCCGCTCCCTACTTCCCAAGAAATGGCAAGAGGCGTCTGGACCCGAAAGTTTAGTTTTTTTGGCTCCCGCTCTCAATCGTATACTCCGCTCTCAATCAGGCGAAAACCCTGTTACATGTCCTATCGGTCATATTCAATTTATTGAACATACAGCTAGTGTAGTACTCTTATCGTCAGAAGTTTGGATTTTCAACGGTGTTCGCACTCTCACCTTCCTTGGACGGAGAGGAGATGATCTCCGAACATTTTCATGAGCTCACCATCTTCTACATTCAAAGAAGCGAAATTAGAACGACAGTTAGTTGTAGGCCCGCGAGTTTTTGCGAAACTTGACAGCCCAATCTTCGACAGAGGTGTACATCTCCTCCATCAGCGGCGGGAGCGGCGGCAGTCGCGGAAGAATGCCGTTTCCGTTCTTACAGCACATGCCCTTGGATTCCTTGGCAAAAAGCTTGGCACCACAATGCTGACAAGGTTGGGCGTACTTTAGGTTGACGCCCGCATCGTCACGTGCGGCAGCTAGGGCTTCTTTCCGTTGGACAAAAGCTTCTTGAAGGTTGGACAGGCGATCATCTTCTTCTACACGGAACACTTCTATCTCCCACACACCGCCTTTTTGCAGCCGCGAGAGGCTGAGCTCCCTCTAGCGCATCGCGTCTAGTGCAAGCGCTCGCCCTAGGGTGTACTTGCTGCAGGCAACCTTAAGGACATCTTCAGGTGTTGCCCCGGCCATGCCCATGGGTTCGGGGGCGCCTTCGCAAATTTCCTCAAATTTAACGCGTTGTCTACACGAAAACGACGAATCATCCATGGCCACCTTCACTCTGTCGATTAACTCAAGCTGCCATGTTTCCAGGGTGGATTCGGAACCCGCCTTGCGCACAAGAAGAAGAGGAGAGGGGGCACCGGAACGGAAGGGAAGAGCACTGGTTGATTGCCCAAAGGGAGGGTGGGCTCAAGGATATTGGGTGGAGGCGAGCGGTTACAGTGTCTAATCTACGGTAGTAGTGAGTGCCAACCACTCGAAAGAAAGAACCCTTTTTTGACCGGCAGGTTGACTGAACCATACGACACAGAATCGATCATAACAAGTACTTTCACGTCCAATATCTTGAAGTACTAAACTAACCTCGGTCCTCCCCGCCCCGCTCGCGATCACCGGCCGCCTCGTACCGTCGGCACCGTAGCCCTCGCCTTTGTTCGTGACGTCGACAGTGCCTGCGCTGCTCGAGCCGCCGCCGCCGCCGCCGCCGCCGTTGCCACCCAACGACAAGAGGCTGTTCTTCGTCGCGGCGTCGATGGCATCAGACTGCAAGGGAACGGAAACTGCCACGTTATGATCGTGTCGCTGTGCTTTACCAGTAGTGCCAAACAGATGATCTATGCACGACAATCCCGCCGAAGACGACGAACGTTGAACGTGCTACGAAATATTTGGCTGGTGTCGGCCAGCCCGACACAGTACGTCAAAGGGAAGAGGAACGAACTACTTCCTCCTTGGTTTCTTACATCGAAGCCTGGACAGGGGGGTGCCGTGCGGGCCAACTTGCCCGGTTGTTCGTTTCCCGCCCGGGCTTTCCGTTTCCCTCGAAATCTCACGGGCGTCGGCACATCGCCACCCCATTCATTGCCGGCCTGCATGTTCAGCATGAGAATAAAGGGCTAGATGGTGTTTCGTTCTGGACCATGCTCGCGTGCATAAGGTCAAGATAATCGCCAACACCGTACTACAGCAGTACTGTAAAAAACGTATCATTTGCGTTTTGATAGCGCCAAGTGGAAGGCGAAAAGACGGTGAGCAGAATGATGGTATGGGGGCGGGGGGTGTGCGAAACAGGTTGACACAAAAGTGGGAAACCCACGAGAGGCTTGTTCGGTGTTTCGGCGGGAAAATATGAAATCCTCGCGAATTTCAGGTATCGTGGTAATTACAGAAGAAAAAATGGAATGTAGGTGAACATTGACAGCAGCATATCTGCTGCTGTCTTCTGTACGGCGAGGACGTGGCCACTAACCAAGTACTCGGCCGGCGTGAAATAGACGCCAATCAACTAACGCCATCCAACGCCAACTCGGAATGGAACAAGCCCGACCCCATCGAAGCCCCTGATCTTGCCACGTACCCCGAGAACGTCCATGGAATAGAGTTACGACGGCGGAGTCGATATTTCACCCCGCCCTCCTTCGGCGGCAGGTTCCACTGACGTGGCCCTGCCGTTCCACGGTCTCCATCCACCCGTCCCGTTGCCGGCACTTGGCGATGGTTGCTCGCCCCCGGCACGCAAATGTCCACCGACGTCAGGGAGCCCCCCACAAACGGGTCTGTGAGGGGCAGGGGCTGGGGCTGGTGCTGGGGCTGGGGCTGGGGCTGGGGCAGGAGCCGGGTCTGGGGCAGGGGCAGCCTGGGTGCATGCGATGATGTAGTATCAATAAAGTGCTCTGAGGTTGTTACTACCATCTTAGACATTGGTCTCGGTGTGGATGTGACAGGGGCCAAACGTTGCTGCTTGCTACTCTCGCGTGGGAGTACTGCTGTATACGCTAGCAGTCAGTGATGTGTGTGTGTTTGGGGGGGGGGGGGGTTG